AAACAATACTTTACGTGACACTCAAGTAAAGGAGTGATACATGAATAAACCGATATCATATTCGAATGAGAGTGATCATGAGGACAAGATGACTAAGAAATGCTTAAAAGAATTGTAGTCATTGTCCATTCCAACAATGTGCACCTGCCTTTTCGGTAGCTCAATCATAAGAACGTTAAGCGTAGTTTACTTGAAACAATTCTATGTTGGGTGATTAAAACAATACTTTTGTGACACTCGAGTAAAGGATTAAAACAATACTTTACGTGACAAACGTTAAACGTAGTTTGATTAAAACAATATTTTACGTGGCACTCGAGTAAAGGAGGGATACATGACAAAACCGAGATCACGTCCAAATGAGAGCGATCATGAGGATAGATGATTACGAAAGGCTTAAAAGAATTAAAGTCACTGTCCATTCTAACAATGTGAACCTTCCTTTTAGGTAGCTCAATCATAGGAACGTTAAACGTAGTTTATTTGAAACAATTTTATGTTGGGTGACTTCCTAAGAAAATTTTCTTGGGAAGCATTCGAAGGAGAATAAAACATGTTAGAATGACTAGTGTTGGTCTGTGGGGATAGTCTTCACTCTCAAACGCCATAAACTATTATCCTTCTCATGGTGAAGACTGAGTCAGCTCATTGTAGCTCATCTATATCAAACAATTTATGTATCAGATTAACATGCATACAAAAGGTCCTAGTTTCAAAAGGTCAATTTTAGGCATGCATAACATCATAGCAACTTTAGGCATGTCTCGAGTTTTGATGAGTCTCAGAAGTCCAACTTCGTACCTTTCCGGCATAAACCATATATCTCGTCTTGACTTTTATTCTAGAACGGTAAAGGAGAAAGACACTCTATTTTTCTCCGAGAAGAATTCCAAGTTAGGTCCCAATCTTTCCGTCACAAGAGATCGATCTTCGAGGTATAACTCAGGAGAGTATATGATGTCGATGACCCGAGGTAGAGCACGATTGAGAAGGGCTTCAATAAAAACGAGATCTTCCGTGAGCAGCTATTGAACTGAATGTTCCAACACGAAGCAGCTAAGCGAGCGATATTTCGTCTCGTTCCCGTTCTTCATTTTCTTAGGTTCGGAGAGTGTCTTACCAATTAATACAACTCCAATCCCTACTCAAACCGACACAGTTCATGTAATTTTCTATCAAAACACCCTAAATCAGCTTTGATTCTAAGAATCTCATGGCAAACGAATCTAACAAATGTTGTTTTTAAAAAAGAAGAAATTATTAAAAAAAAAAAAACGATAAGTGAACCGAATCCGACACCTATTTGATCTCAACATTCATGTAAAATGAAATGAATCCGACACCTATTTAATCTTTTAATGAAACATCTTTGAAATGACCTTATCTTTAGGGGATATATGTCCCACCATTAAGAAAAGTTGATATTTAAGGATTGTGAATTGGACAAGGGCAATTGCTCGAGGCTTCCAAACACACAAGACTTCCAACCCATACAAAATGGTGTGGTCAATCTTGGATAGCATATGGGGGCCAACTCCATGAGGAAGAAAACAACCCTTGCTTTGACATATCACAATCAACACTCAACCCTACCCTTCAACCTTTTTCCTTTATTCGACACACGATTCGAGTAAAATCGAAAACAAAAAATATTCTTGGAACGGTTCGAGTGCCAAATACAGTATCGATTTTAATTTTGATATGAATTTTTACGGTCTAATATGACCATAAATATTAGAGATAATGAGCTTAATACTTTTAATGAGTTAAAAAAATATATATTGAATTTAGTATGTTTTACCGGGAGTAAGTCTATGGTGGGGGACCGCTTGAGAATTTTCATAGGATGACTCGAGTTGGTACGCGGAGATGGTCTTCACTCTTAGAAGTGAAGAAAAAGTAATAGTAATGTGACAGGGGATGCAGTGGAATGTTGTTGTCTAATAGATTTCAAAAGTTCTAAAATATTTAGTATATCCATGGGCTTTTTATTTTATGTCTTACAATTATGCTCATATTCGGTTATCAAACATTTACAAGTCACAAGGCATCACTGACATCGGTACAAATGTTAAAATTCATAATCTTTTGAATGTAACGTAGGGTTGGGTTAGGTTATAATTCTATTTTTGGGTCCTGACAAAAAAAAATGTCAACTAGCAAACCGAACAGAATTTTTTTCAATTTTTAAAAAATTCAACCGAACCCAAACCGAAAAAAATCTAACCCAACCTAACCTTTATAACTAGGTTAAGTAATCTAGATTCGTCACATTATCGAATCATATGAATATCTCTATAAAAAATTGAAAAATCAAAAATTGATTAGACGCTTTTATTGTATAGGGACCTATTAAACACAATTTAAGGTCGAGGGACTAACCGAAAATTATTTATTTTAAGTAGATTATTATAATATAGGCTAGTTTTGATAACATTTAGATTGATAAGATAAAATAATCATGAGTCAAATTTGGAAATCAAGGTGCCAATATTTTATTTGATAAAGTAAAGTTATGCTAATTTAATTTATTTAAAGTTAAATGATATTTTATATTAGAAGACGTGGGGCTACGAATTTGAATAATCAGTTTCACGGTTTCACGGTTTTTATTTCCAATTGATGTGAGATCTTATCATTCGGAGAAGTTTCCACACTCTTATAAGAAATGTTTCGTTCCCCTTTCCATCCGATGTGGGATCTCACAATCTATCCTCTTAGGGGCCAGCGTCCTGGCATACCATTGGGTGTCTGGTTCTGATACCATTTTGTAACAACTCAAACCCACTACTAGCAGATATTGTCCGCTTTAGCCCATTACGTATCGTCGCAAGCCACTTCTATAATAAAAAAGTTTCCACATCCGTATAAGAAACGTTTCATTCCCCTCTCCAACTGATGCGAGATCTCACAAAATGCATTTAAGAGTGACGATTACTTCACAGACAAACATGAGTACATGTCCTCACTTAAATACTTCTTGAGACCGAATCCTCAGCATGAGGTGTTATAAAATTTAATCGAATGAGTGAATAGAAAATTATTTAATGTGATTGACTCTTCTAAAATTTTAAATCTACCATTAAATTATACGGTCGAAATTGTAAGACACGTTTCGACAAGTTTAAAATGAATTTTATAGCTGTGTTTTTTTACGTATATTTTAATTTTCTATTAATAAATGAAGATTAAAAATCCAAAATTTAACTTATTTTATTTTCCTTCCAATATATTTACAATAATTTCTTTGGTTATTTTCAATCTAAAAACTATAAACAATTGAATAAATAATCATTTGATAATGACACATCAACAAGAACTCACACTAATGAAAATAATAACAATAATAGTAATAATAATAGTTTATTATTAAAATTAACTCACACTTAATTATGCATCTTATAACAAAACATTACTCTATAATAATGCATCATAATGGGAAGAAATTTAACTCCTATAATAATGTAAATATTATAAACTTATTGATGCAAGTTTTATTTTGGAAATAACTTATTCACTAAATTATTAATTAACCATAAATGCTATAATTGACATTTATTTTTTATTAATTAAGTTTTTTTTAATATAGTTTTAACGAGCGAAAAATTCAAACATCTAAGTTTCGGTCGAATTTGTGACACTCGTGTAAAGGAAGAGTACATGAATGAATCGAGACCATATCTAAATGAGAATGATACTAAAGATATGATGTTATCTATACAAACAAGTTGCACCTTCTTTCCTGGTGGCTCATTCGCATGAGCTTCATGACTAAGCGTATTTTGATTGAAGCAATTCTAAGTTGAGTGACCTCTTGAAAATTTTCCTTAGATGTATGTGAATGAGGATAAATTATGCTGGAATAACTCGTGTTAGTTTGTAGGGGTAGTTTTCACTCATAAGAAACGAGAAGTAGGTAACTTGACAATGTCGCGAGGATTAGGGTATGTCGGGGCCATCAGAGGCCGATAGAATGACTAAGAAATACTTAATAGAATTGTAAGTGAGATTCTGAATCGTGGGTATGAGGCGTTACAACCAATCAAATGTAAATAGTTAGAGAATCCTCACTTCGCTTCTTAGGAGTGAAAGTTATCCCGACAAACCAGCTCGAGTCCTTTCAGCTTGCTTTTTCCTCACTCACATGCATCTTAGGAAAATTCCTAAGAGGTCACCCGAGCAAGGGCCTAATTCTCTCAACCTAAAATTCTATCTAACCCAACCCAACCCGTATAATTTGGGTGAGGTCAGTTCGAATTTTCGAGTTCAATGTATTCCCCTACTAAAAGCAAATCTAGATGAAATTTTATACGACAAAATTTAAATTATTATAAAATTTAAAATGTAAAGCATTATTCACAAAAGTTAAAATGACCCGAATAAAAAATTATATCGCTACAAATCAAAATTAAAACACTAAATTATTATTTTGACCATTAAATCAAAAGTATTTATTAAAAAAAATTATTATTGATCTATTGGAACATAATTCACTAAGTACTAATAAAAAAAAGTCAACCCTACCAATAAAAAAAACAAAAAAACTTAAAATTCACTCGATCACATTTAATTATTTAATTTTCTTAAATAAAAAAATTTGAGGTTTATTTTCGCTTGAGAAAAAGCGGAAAAGAAAAAAAAAAAAAAAAAAAAAAAAAAA